CAGTTTTAAGTATATAGTTGGATCTTTGAGTTACCAGCTCTAAGAGAATCTCAGTTTTAAGTATATAGTTATATTTTTATAATTTTCAGTTTTATGTAAATAGTTGGATCTTTGAGTTACCAGCTCTAAGAGAATCTCAGTTTTAAGTATATAGTTATATTTTTATATTTCTCAGTTTTAAGTATATAGTTGGATCTTTGAGTTACCAGCTCTAAGAGAATCTCAGTTTTAAGTATATAGTTATATTTCTCAGTTTTAAGTATATAGTTATATTTCTCAGTTTTAAGTATATAGTTGAATCTAAGAGAATTGCAATATTTTCTCAGTTTAAGTATAACCTTAAGAGCAGAGCATAATGATAAATTTATTACTTCTCAATGACTTCTGATCCAGCGAGTGTCATACCGACGAGTTCAAAAAGATAGCGACGAACTATTGTATACGACTTGAGAGAATTTCTAATAGAGCTAACAAGATTATTAAAGACTTTAATAACCTATTTAAACGACTCTCAGTCACGAATTGGACATAAACGCTCAATTTTGCAAATGCACGATGTTATGTAAATGCTTAACACTAGAACTATGTGGTCAAAATGACTGATTCATAATTTTTTTTAGATACATTACAAATGCAAAATGGTGTATTTTTAGCGGCTTAAATGATTTCTTATAAAATACACGAATAAAAGTTTGTCTATTTCTATTTTCTTCACTTTGATATTTCCGATGAAAATTCTTTACGCTTCAGTCCTTGGTAGTTTTAATATCGTTTCTTTTACATTTACATTTCCATCTTTGTTACATTTGCTGTTTATCTTATTGTATTTTCTTTCCTCGACGAGCTTTCCCGATCGAGAATGAATTGGCAACACCAAGTCTAAAAGAAATGTCCCCCTGAAATGACGCCTTCGGAAAGACAGAAAACCCCATAAATCCCATAAACACGTCAGCACCGTGTGTTGCATATCATCTAACACCAGCAGATCGCCGAGGAATTCGTAGACAATTGATGTCAATTGTTATCATCGTCGATGGACGTCATCAGGACGTGAAAGAGAGAAAGAAGATCGAATCCGGACGAAACCGTTAGTCGCTAGTGGTTCGTCGGCTGGAAAAGCGGCTCCGACGTTGATTAATTCCGCGCGCATGATGGATTATTCGAGGAACTCGGTGTTCTGCGAGCGTTCCGAGCGGAAACCGAGCAGGCCGCATAATTTTAACCAGCATGCGCGTTCGTTCTCTCGGTGGCTGTTTGTCGAGAACTCTCCATGGCAGTTCCGGCCGTCGTCGTCGCCGTGCGCGAGAGTCAGAGTCAACAGATTGACGAGCGATGGAAAGTGAACGGCAAAGTGGATACCGCACAGGATGACACGTGGACAGAACGCGTGAGACAATCCTGCCGCGTTACTCACATCGCGATACTCGCAACGAAATGCCTGGGCGAAAATACGATCGTAGGTTCACTTTCATTAACTAAACGGTGGTCAGGATTTCCCGTCTCGTATCGCGGAGACAGACGTTCCTCTGTGCTGCAACTTCCTGTGCTTGCAGAAACGGTCGTAATTTATCATCGATTTATCGATATACTTGAGAACACTCTGGCGTGATTCATTTCATTTTTCATCGAATAAGTCGTTGATCGACGCACGGAATGAAAGTAAAGGGATTAAAGTGTAGTTGATTAGAATCGAAGCAAGGTGACGGAAATAAAATGTGTCGTTTATTTATCGATTTATCTACTTATTTCTTTACTTGTTTCTTTAGTTACTTGTTTAGATGTTT